TGCAAGGTCAGAAGGTCAACTTCCCAGAAGAAAAGCCTTAAAGAAAACATGACATAAATTTATTAAACATAATCCACTTTAATAAATTAGCAAAATTGCAGGATGCTTTGCACAAAATTGCTTAAGCACTCGGCTCAACTGCGCTTGATTAACACTGCGAGCCGAATGTTGACCGTGTTCTTAAAACAAACCAACCGACACCTGGAAACCAACCGGCGTGAGGAGGACATAAAACAGAATCTGCAACGGCATCGGCCAACACAACCTGATTGACCGGCAGGTCGGCAGCCCGGAATCCAGGGGGGAACTCATGGGATTCAACAGCAAGGCGGCAGTTAATCGGGGGAGTCAGAGGGGGGGGGTCAGACACACAATGATATCAAGGCAGTCTGTGCCACAGCAGGGCTGAGAAAAATTCCCAAGCATTCCCAAAATGGCTGGAATGAGTAACCACAACTTTAAATATCCCCTTTTGAATAAGCACAAAGAAAGAAAAATGTTATAACAAGATTGATATGTGTGTTCCGGCAGAATGAAATCTAGGACAAATCTGTTATGCTCAGGTGCTTTGACAGGATAAGCTAAAACATCCGTCTTCCAAATGCTTATCCTGGATAGTGTCAAAGGGACAGAAAACCCTCTGTTTCATATCACCCATCCACCAAAAACCTTTTTTTTTTTTTTGCTAACCATCTCCCTAATTACAGCAAAATGCCAGGGAAGCCAAATATGCTCACATGTGCCCCCTAGTGTCCCTGCAGGGAAAACAAGACTGCTTACGGGTTTTCAATGCAGCAAGGAGAAGGAAATGTATAGCAGAACTAAATTCTGCATGTCACCAGGGGCCAGTTAGTTGTTTCTGGGGTCCCAATCAAAAAGTCACTTCCACCATCCGGGATACGATCATTTCATTTTAATGGCTGTATATCTAACGATAACACTAGCTAACAAGTAGCTTGTCGTACAGCAGAAGGCCTGTGGCCTGTGGCTCTTGAGGACACAACACTCCACCACTAAAATCACCTAGAAAAATTAATAATGCAATTACTGCCATTTCCAGAGGGAAGCGTTCCCAGTCCGCAGGAGAAAGAGAATCAACACAACGCCTCTGCTGTGGGAACCGTGATTCCCCCGGGTCTGTGAGACTCGCCATAGAAATGCGAGGCTCCCGCACAATCTGACCTTCTCAGGACCTGGCCAATTACAAAGCCCAGCCTGGGCTAAACATCCCCAGCTCCCCAGGAAGGACCTCAACAACTTAAAGGCCATTAGAAACACAATGATCTCACAGACTCGGCTCTTTAAAAGCCCAAGAGGAGAATACCTACAAGTGGAGAGCATTCTTGTCCACCTCCGCAAATTCAAGAGATTTACTTACTTTTACCAACTATATTTCATAAGGGCATAGCTGCACTAATACCGGTCTGAAAGCCTAAGTGGTGATCATGTTTCAGGCCACGAGAGCATGTAAATAAGGCAGTCTCTAAGTGCGGCCCCCCCTCTCCATCGAGGGGAAAGCATGTACTCTGGCTGCGGTACACGGCTGACCTCTGATGGCAAAGTACACTGAGAGCGGCTGGAGCAGCACGGTGGGCAGCACAAAGCTCACATCTCACAGAGGTTTTCCGTAAAACCTGTACCAGCACCTACCCATTCTCCATGCCCTGGAATAGACCGGCATCCCTGCCAGGCTCTCCCCAGCCTCCGGCCCTGGGCTTCCAGGCCCAATCGGTGGTTCTGGAAGATGGACGAATTAAAGAGCTGCATAATTTATAATCACCATATCTTCTGTTCACCGCCCCCCCATTCAAAAAGTTCTAATGATCCGGGGTTGAGTTTCTAGACCTCCATGTAATACTGAGAACAAGAGCATGATGTGAGCATGTATGCCCATGTCACTGACCAGGAAAAACAGCTGGAAGATGGATGGACAGATGGATGGATGTATTTGTAATTTGTAATTCTCTCATACATTTCATCAGGTATAGACTGGACACATACTAAGCATTAATTTAATCTAATCAGCAATACTCTGTCAATACTCTATCTTTGGATGTTACAGTGAACATTTTTGCTTCTCAGCTCACCTTTGAATTAAATTGTGCTCCAAGCGATGTCAGGATGTGCATAATGCAAAGATTACGGGGTGTGACCAGGAATTCTTCTTCATTGACGATGCTGGACAGTTTTGCACGTGTTATTAATGATAATGTACAAATTAGCTTTCTCACCACCCACCCCCCAGCGTCAAAATGGTCCCCAACCAGAGGAGAGCAAACAGGAAGAACCATCAAATTGCTCTATATGGTCCATATAATTAGACAAAATGCATTGTTAAAAAAATACTGCTAAAGTGATAAAATCAGGCCTTGAGGCTAACAAGGTCCAGGTTCAGCCATAATGGTGCATCACATGGCTGAGGACCCCAGAGAAGGCAGGGAAGCATGTGGAGCATTCAGAAATCCTTCAAATTACCGCAGAATGTTCCGGATAATACGTCCGTCGTAAAAGGCACCCCTGAGGGTTAGCTGCCCCCACAGGCAGCACAAAGCCAGCTCACTTGCATGCTAAGGCCGTTGGCAGGCAGATAAACTTAGTAAGTCACGTCCTTGCTGGCTGACATGTGGGCTTCTTGAAGAAACTCGAGACCAGCAGATACCCCTGCTTGACAGAGGACTGAGAAAGGATGTTAGAAACAGAGAGCGCCATGACCATAAATAGAGGCGTAGATGGTCCTGTTGCCCATGGGAAGAGTTTATGGTTCTCCCTGGGGGAGAGATTAGCTCAGCTAAATAGCCACCCAAGCCCGTCATTACCTGCATTAACACATTTACATTGACGCATACATTAACACGGCAGTCGAACTTTAAAGTTTAAAAGCGAATTTGTCTGAAAATCAAGTGCTTTTTTCTGCGTTTGTGACCTTCTGAGTCCACCTGGAGATTTTAGGATTTACCTTTAGCTACTAATCTCTTTTTCTGTTTTCCCATAGTACTGGGAAGAATTTAACAAGAACAACAAACAAACAAATAATGAAAAAAAGCTTTAAGGGGCTACAATTCTGGTTCATTTCTCTGATATATTTTGTTGTGTATTATTTGGCTTCTACTACAATGCACTGGGATACCCTGCAATATTCGTCTTGGAGTTATAGTAATAGGAGCCTCTTAATCGTCCATAGTATTCGACTCTATCTGTGCGCCTGCACATGAGCCATGGATCGGCATCCAGTTCAGAGTGTCACCCTGCCTTGTGCCTGATCTGCACAGAATCTCCAGGCCTCCATGATTCTGACCAGAATAAGTGAATAGAAGATGGATGTATGGATGAATGATTGTTTCTCCTATGATTCTTAAATTTTTTGCATAATTGTTGGATCATTCTAATTTATGTTATAAAAACATCGCTGTTTCCAACCCACTTCATGTATTATTTTATGCTTTTTGGTTAATAACATGGTGACGTCAGCTTCCCAGATGATTCAATCAGGTGTGTAACTTTGGTATGAACACTGGGGGTGCTGAAGTCTCCACCCATTTAGGGGAGACATGATTATTGGTGGTGGTGGGGGGGGGGGGCATTATAACTCTCCAATCTTCCCGTAATTTATGCCCATGAATTCAATGACCATCGATACAAACAAACAGCACCGCGGCTTAACGCATTGCGGAGAGTATTGCATTTACACATTTTACTTTCCATTAAAGCAAATAACAAACATGACCTAATTTGGGTGAATAAACAGCACCGCTGCAGGCTTTTTCCAAAACACAAAGAAAATATTGTTAATATCTATGTATCTGGATAGGCTACCTGGCAAATGTCACAACCCCTGGTAAGCTCTGCCTTTTCTGTCGTAGCGGTTGGTGTTTGTTTACATGCACGGAAATACTATACAACTTTAGTATATTCATTAGCTGCGAGTAAATATTTAGCGATGCTTTATCCACTCTTTATTTAAAAAATTAAGCTATTTTCTTATTATAAATGCTGTTTAGACGTAAGTCCGGCAACGTTAACAGCCTTACTATTTCGCAGAGATGAACCCACAGGAGTGAACGCAGCTGTCCTAAAACCATAACGTAGAGTCTTTCCCCTAATTATATTTTCTGAAGATTTAATGAATATTACTTACGAATACTTGATATCCGACATAAATAATGTGTGTGTTTGGTCCAGGTATACCTTACCTTGTGTGGACCCGTTTTTTTTACCTTATGGGGGTTAGCATTAGCATTTTTCCCATAGAAATTAATGAGCGGTCCCCAAAAAGATATGATTGCACAGCAGTGTGTGTGTGTGTAGGTGGGTGTGTGTGTGTGTGTGTGTGTGTAAGGGGGGTGTTACCACCTCACACCACCCAGACTGGAGCTTTCAGATCTTGCCCCCATGTGTTGGTGGAATTCACAGATTCTCTCTTTGTTGTGCAGTTTCAGCCCACTGTCCAAAAACAAGCATATGACCAAACTGGTGCGTCTTAATTGCCCATTTGTAGGTGTGCCCTGTGATTGGCTGGCATCCTGTCCAGCGTGTTCTCCTGCCCTACACACTGGAGATAAGATAGGCTCAACCTCTCCATCATGCTGTATGGGATAGTTAGTTGAAAGGATGAATCTATAGACATTTGAGTGTCTTTTAATAGGCCTTTGTTAGCTTGAGCCCAATTATGGTTAAGGATGTTAAGATAGCACCCTGCGGTGTGTTGGTGACTGCCCAGGGTTGGTGCCTGCGCCTATTGTTCCCAACCCCAGTTGGGATTCAGCGGTTTCAGAAAATGGATGGATGGATGGATGTTAAGATAACTAGGCATAGCTAAAGAATCTACTGGCACAATATAAAACTCAGATATCAGAGAGATGGCACACATCAGCATGTCATTTTCTTTGTTTCCTTTTTGTACAGTACTAAACAATGCAAAATTTTGTGTACAGTGAGGAATGAAAAGAATTGTCAGGATCACAAAGTTTTACATTCTGCAATCATTTCGGCAACACAACACATTTGTTAGCAAAATGTGTGTTTTATTTAAATTTCTGACCGCTTTGAGGTTCAAAGATGTTAAGCAGTGGCTTTCCTGCAGACCAGCAGGAGTATGAGATCTTTACTATTGGCCTTCCTGGTGGGCTGGGTTTAAAAATCGATCATGTTCAAACAGCAGACTGGGATAAGTAAGACTGATATAAAGTCAAAATGGATTCTGCGTTGCAGTCCATTTGAACCTTATGCGGAGAACTTTATGCAGTCCCAAGGTGGTAGGCAATTTAAGCATCAGACTCAAACATCTTCTTCCTGCCACCCATACCAGCCTTGTCTTCAATGTTCTTACGCCAATCACCAACTGCTTCTTTCTCCTAGTGGGGTAGATTTAGACAGGAAATCATGATTCCTTCAATAGCATTTGATTAATACTTCAGGCTTGCATATTTTCTAAAGGTTTGCTCAAAGGACATACTCAATGCTTTTGCGTCAATGATTTTCTTCGACTGAGAAAATGCTATAGCATAAAGTGATAAAGAGCAAGAATATTAAGGTTACATAATGCAGATCTTCTGTTTCTAAGCTACTAGTGCAGTTGTGCCATTCATAACTGTTACAAAGCACCTTAGTTCCAGTGGTGGAGATTTCAGGCCCAGAGGGTCCAAATCCAGACCAAGATTTTGTTTCAACCAACCAGTTGAGTATAAAGAGTCATAGTCACAGAATACTCAACTGGTTGGTTGAAATAAAACCTTGGTCTGGACCTGAAATCTCACCTCTGCTTAGTTCTCCATATAAATCAATATTTAAGGAAAAAAACCATACAATATTTCTGCAGTCTCTCTTGGCTCCTTGTTCAGCAGTTTGTTATTATGACTGGGCATGTAATAATGCCTCTGCCAGTCATCTGAACTCGTGAAAGTGTGGCAGGAACAGTCCACATGAATGCTTACCTCCTCCCTGACCTCCTTCTTCACTTGCTTCAGGTTGGCCCTCAGGTCCAAGTTGACCGTGTGCTTGGAGCCCAGCAGAGCCTTCAGCATGGCGTCGGCAGAC